ACAGAATAGTGAGTAAGGTGGGCAAATTGGACTTAAACTGGAGGCCCCAATTCTTAGACTCTCTTGTAAAATGTAAGACTTGAATGAAATCTACCTTATCTTAGGATTTCTGGCCACTTCCTGTTACATTCTTTTATGGAGGAAACAACCACATGGTACAGAGCAGTTTTTTAAAACGAGGTTCTTGTATGGGCTCTTCACAGAGTCCATGTTCCCCTTGACATTGTTTTGTATGTATTTTTATGGGGAGGAAATCCATGACTCAAAACAGTTAAGACTCTTCTCTGGAGAGGAAAAGGAAAAGGAAAATTTAAGAATAGATCTTTCATTTGCCAGAACGTCCTATGTTTCCCTAAGAACTATGGGAGTGTGAAACAAGAAATGTATTTTTGTGGGTGTGGTTTTCTGGGGGGAAGGGGTGTTTGGTTGGTTTTAAAGGATTAGATGATTTGGCAAGTCAGTTTGCCAGATTTTAATGTATAAAACCCTAAGAATATAGAGACAAGTTCTGCTGGCCCCAGATGGATGGATTTTGCCTTAGATGATGCCCTAATCATTAGTTACATCTAGATAGATAGATAGATAGATAGATAGATAGATAGATAGATAGATATTCATACTATAGTCTTAGTATCCCTCTTACTGTACAAAGAAATGTTTCTTTCAGGTTTTTTTCCTTTCCTACCTTTGTACTCACAGTCAGAAAATAAAACTAATTAAATAAATTTTGAGTCTTAAAGATTTTGAATGAACTCGGTGTTGGGTTTTTTTGCCTCAATTAACTAAGAGTAACTAATTACAATAAAGTGGTAATTAACTTAAAGGAAGAAGATAGATCTGTTTCACAAAGACTTTTTTGCTTCAAAATACACATCTGTGTAGGCAGAGGAATTGTTCTCAACACTTTTACAATCAGTCACTGGAGAATTACTCCCAGTAATTCCCCCGATTTCCGGTGGAACATAATATATGATTTTTAAGACTTTGTTTGCAAATAAGTGTATTCTTTACTCAATCAGTTGGGTTAAAAGGATCTCAAACGTGTCATAGTTAGTTGGCAGAGTGTTAAGATAAACTACGTGACCCATTTCTAGAATGGCCAGTTTGGCAGCTCCGTTTGGAAATCTGTTTCACTGCTTGTTTTTTCTTATAAC